GACCGTTGCTTTCCTAGGGCCAGTCGATCGTATCAGTTGATAAAGGGCGCGGGTGTTTCCCATAGCAAAAGCCTTCTCCATCTCCCGAGCTTTCAATGTCCACCAGAGCTCTCGGTCTTTCCTTAGACTCTTCACTCTTTGGCGTTTGAGGGATTGGCGTGCGCCGTCGTACTCGTTGCCTGTTGGTATGGCTTTCCTGGCATCAATCATGGATAACGACCTCGACGACATCCAGTGGCCTTGTGGTCAAATTGAAGAAGTCAGGCAGGCAGCACTGAACGCTGCTAACATAGCTCCCTTCACATTTTGCTACGCTTTATCCACATGCTCACCGCCACCACAGTATTGTTTTACTGTGGAGAGTTGTTGGGCTAGCTCAGATCGATACTGTTGAGCTATGGCGCGATGGCTCAAGTGGTTAGAGCGCGAATTTACTGACCGGAAGGTCCGTGGTTTGAACCTGACCTCTGACTCTCGACTTCCCCTGTCTAGGCTTGGGCAACCTGACAGTATCCCAGCCCTCATGCAACCTTTGGGTGGCATGGCAGTTAGGCACCGAAAGGGTGCTACAGCTATGGCAGTTCTTCGAAGCTGGTGGATTGGCATGCTCCTTGCCAACTTCCGAGGGCCTGAAGGGATACGAACTGTCAAGTGTGAGCGCACCATGACGTGATCGGAATTAAATGGCGTGCCCCAGAAGAAACGGCTTGAACTGTGACGTGATCGGAATTAAATGGCGTGCCCCAGAAGAAACGGCAGTCTTGAACTGTGGCTCTCCACCGGTGGCCGATGGCCACGTGGTCCAACTGGGTCCACGGTTGATTCGTAGTTGGCGGCCACCAGGTTACGCGGTGCAAACGCAGTTCTGACATTCATTTATGTTACATTAATGCCAGAGCTGATGCAACTTGGCGCTGATGGTAATAAGCCATTGCATCTCTGCAGCTTTGAGGCTGGTAGACCTTCTCTGGATGCACATCCGTGCGCATGTGCAGCCACACGAAAGATGCGGAAGTTGCGATTAATCATGGAGGTGGTTCTCCGTAGATGTGTTAGCTCCCGAAAGATTGCAGGATGAAAGCAGAAAGCCTTTTGGAAAATACGTGACGGACACACCAGAATTACGATCACTCATTTGCCACTTGACATCCTCAGTCCGTCCGACTCTAATATGTCCAATGAAGTCCACGCGTTTTCTGTAGGTCGAAAAGCCGGAGTATTTTAGTATTCCGCCCTCAGCATTCTCAGTGATTAGATCATGAATGTTGACCGGATTAGCATTTTGTTTTGCCATTGATCGGTGGTCATTTCGAGGTTCACAGAACAATATGGTCTAGTAAGAAGTAACAAAAACTCCAAGGGCTTGTCCATACTTGTCCTTCTCACTACACTATAAGAAATCGGCCAAAAGGCATTCGCCATTTTACAGATGATTCGGCGCACCTTCAGCCGTATTGCTCGCATGGACTTCCAGATACTCTATGGGGCCTACATCAAACCGCTCCTTGAATAAGCCAACCAAGTTATCTACTCAGGACGTACGAGAGGCGCCACCCTCATTAAGCTAAGAAATTGGTCCCGGCCTCAAGTCCGTGGACTACGAATCACGTTTCGCGATGCTTGATCACTTTCCCCTTACGCCCTGTCTGAACAAAGCTTGGCGAACAGGTTTTCCACCGTTGATCCAGCAAACGCACGGCAGGGACATGGTGAGAAGGTTTCCAGGCTCAGAGCGCACATACATGAGGCAAATTTTTTCTCATCTTGGGTAGCAGCTGCGTGGAATGACATTCCTCCAAGGGTTGTCCACGCTCCTTCTAAAACCCAGTTCAAAACACTATTAGACACTTATCTATGCGAATCCTCGCACTGGAAAGCATACTGCCCCACGCTGAGAAAATAAATAGCAGTGCTACACCCTTTTTCATTTCAGGTGAACGATAGCCGCTGAAATATAAGAACAAAACCGACGCGGGAAACTTGGACGAAAGCCTCGATCTTGTACATAAATGAATGAATCCATGAATTCACGGATCGGGCTTGTTCCTCTTTTTGGGACTTCTCTCCACTTGAAAGGCACGCGCGAAGACCATTTCTCTCGTTTTGGGTGGTGAGCACGTGGAATAATCTCCCTGACAGCTATGCACGCTGCATCATGAACCCAATTAAGGTCGTTTCCGGTGCACTGTTTGGATCATCGTGCTGCTGAGCTCAAGGCAGGCGACTCATGCACTAACTAGCATTTTGATTGGCCAATTGTGCACATGCCAGGAAGCACGTGCCCCTCACAGTGCATTTGTGCACAAGCCAAGTAAAGAACTATTTCAATATGTAAAAGCGCGTGAATTAAGGAGATCTGCATTGTTAAAGCAAGGGAAGTTAGTCAAAAACTATTTGGACTACTCGTCCAAGTAAAGCACCGCGTATTCCGCGTGGGATATATTGTTTACCAAGTGAAAGAATTGACATTACGAAACATGTCCGCGTGTCCTAAAATGTTCATCATTGATCTCTTTTGCTTCTCACAGTCTTTTCATGACTGCTCACACCACTGCCTAGAATATGAGGGTGGCAGGAGATTGACAGTTGTAGCGTACTTTACAAGCTATGGAAGAGCCAGGATACAATAAAATTCACAGTGTGGAGTTACATGAAAGTCTCCACGGATGGAAGACGGAAGGAGCACCCATAAGCCAGTGCCTAGTAGGCAGTGTTGTACATCACTTCTTACGCGTAAATAAACTAAAATGGCAGTTGCTTGATACTACGATAGGGTAACAGTCCATGTTTGTCACAGCGTTGCTATGATTACTGGGTTTCCCGCGTTGAAGTAAATTGTAAGTTATATCCTATCCAATCAGTCCCTAGCTGTTATCTGCTTCTGAGGGTCATATGCATGGTAAATTCTAACGTTGGCACCAAGAGGCCTATCAAGCGCCATCAGTTGTGACTTGTCCTCGGACAAGTTGGGATAGGTCTTCTCAGAATTCACTGATGAAAACAGGTCATCATTGCACGTTTTCTCCCTAGTCCTCTTTCACAATTAAGATGATTCCCTTGAGATCGCTCTCTACGCACGATCTTGGAGCCTTGTGATGGAATTGATATATTATACCGAAAGAACAGGGACTTTACAAAATGCGATGCCAGTATTTGCGGAAATGTAATCATGTGTTTTTGGAGAGATGTGCCCATACATGTTTTCACTGTCTTCCCTGCTCCTTTCGCCAAAGCCTAAGTTTTACAGGCGGTATTACGTTCAGCCGCACCCAAAATGCTGTTATCAAAATCGAATGTCGGCTAAATGAGTGCAGCTCACACTGGTCCGTTCGAAGTTAAGCTTTCCATATGGCATTTGATGCACTCGATCCCGTAGCTACCTTAA